GCGACGACGCCGCGGGCACCGGCGGCCGCGACCAGGGCAGGACAAGGGTGATTCAACGTCGCTTCAACATGAGTGTTCCGCGCGCGCGCGTTCCGGAAAAAGCATCCACGCGTCAAGAGCGCTCCGAGGGATGATCGCTCGTCCCAAAATCAGCCGAAACGAGTGGAAAATGACCGAGATAGGAGCCTCCAAAGTTGGGAATTTCGCACCCTTTTCCTGCCCAGGCCGCGACTGGTACCACCCGGCGACCTACGAGCTCCGCTGCGGCGCCGAGGCGCTGGCGGCCCTGCGCCACGCCGAGGCCCACCCGGGCGCCTGGTGGATCTCGAAGCCGCGCGCGGGCAGTCGGGGGCAGGGGGTGCGCGTCGACGCGAGCCTCGCGCCGGCGCTCGCCGTCGACGAGGCCTGCCCGCGCGTCGCCCAGCGCTACGTGCGCGACGTCGCCCTCTATCGCGGGCGCAAGTTCGACGTGCGCTTCCTCGTGCTCGTGCGGCGCCTCGAGGGCGACGCGCTCTGCGGCCGGCTCTGGCGCGACTTCTGGGCGGGAATCAAACAGTGAGCTGGGTTATCCCAACCAAACTTCAGAACTCTCTAGCTCGGTCACATCGAAGTCGATTCGGCTGATTTTTGGACGAGTCGTTTGCCCTCGTCGAGTTCTCGAAGCACGGCCGAAGAGTCCGGTCCAAGCCGTTCGATTACATTGAAGTCGGGTTGAAGATTTGAGTTCCACCCAGGCGCGACTTCTGGGTCCGGGTCGCGCGCGACGCCTACGGCGGCGACCCGTCGCGGCGCACGGCGCACCTCACGGCCATGCACCTCGTCGCGCCGGCGACCTTCGACGCGTCGGCGAACCCGACGGCGGCGGAGTTCCGGGAGTTTTACGAACGCGAGACCGGCGGCCGCTGGTCCGACGCGCTCGGTCGCGTCCGCGCGCTCGCGCGCGACGTCCTCGCCGCCGGCGCGGCGCGCTGCCCGGGCTTCTCGACGGCGGCGGCCGAGGGCCCGCCGCGGCGCGCCGCCGTCTACGGGATCGACGTGCTCTTCGACCGCGAATGGACGCCCGTGCTCCTCGAGGTCCAGTTCGACCCCGTCCCCAAGCCCGGCCTCGACGGGGCCGCCCTCCTCGCGGGGCTCCTCCTCGACGACGACGCCACGTCCGACGACCTCTTCGGCGACTAGGCTTACGGGGATGGGATCGTCTAGATCTCGTCCTTGGAGACCATGATGAACGAGAGCGCCATGCCCATGGCGGGGAGGAACAGGGTCATGACGGGCACGAGGATCGCCGGCAGGTAGGACGCGGAGAAGGCGTTCGCGGGCAGCGCGGCGAGCACGGGCGCGACGGCCGCGAGCTGCACCGCGGCGGTCTTCGGGTCGACCTTGGGCGCCTCGAAACCGAAGCCGCGCTTCTCCGCGGCGAGGGGCCGCGCGACGGCGGCGGGCCGGGGCGCCGTGAAGGCCGCCGCGGACACGAGCAGCGCGGACACGAGGAACAGGGAGCGGGCCATGGCCTGCGGCGGCGGGAGCGGTGAAAAACGGGGCCCTGGCTCGGTTTTCGCGCGGCGGGGCGTTTGCGTCGGTTTTTTTCCGGGAGCCGGCCGAGGGAGCGCTTCGGTTACGTCTTCGAGGGCTGCGCGCGCGTCCCTCCGCGCGGTTTGTGGGCGCCGGCAGCGCACGTCTGGACGTAGAAGCTGATGATCGGCAAGGTCGAGGTCGGGCGGATCCAACGTCCGGAGCGTCCACAGGCCGCCGACGGCGTCGCGAGGCCTTGCTACAGCACCCACGACAATGGCCGACTTCCAGTCATCGTCCTCCTCCAACGTGACCTACGGCGCGCGCTGCACGGTGCACGCCTCGGCGCACATCGACGCCAC